ATATATTTCTTTCTTTCTCTTTTGAGTACTTACTATAGGTTTTGCTTTGTGGTTACCATGAGGCTTCCATATTACAACTTATATCTATTACATTCTATTTTAAGTTGATAACAACTTTTTGATCCCATTGTAAAAGTTAACATCATTACTACCCACCCCCCACCACCATGTTCTATGTTTTGAATGTCACATTTTACACCTTTTTATCTTGTATATCACTTAATTATTATAATCATAGTTTTTTGTACTACTTTTATCTTTTAACCTTCATACTAGCTTTATAAGTGATTAATCCACTACCTTTACTATATATTTGCATTTCCAGTGAGACTTATTCTTTCAAGAACAAGTGTTCTTGTTACTAATTAGCACCCTTTCTTTTCAGCTTAAAGAAGTACTTTTAATGTTTCTTATAAAGTTGGCTTAGTAGTGATGAACTTCTTTAAGTTTTTGCTTGTCTGGAAACCTCTTTATCCCTTCTTCACTTCTGAATGGCAATTTTGCTAGGTAGAGTATTCTTGCTTGGAAGTTTTTTTTCTTTCAACACTTTGAACACATGGTGGTGCTACTCCCTTCTGGCCTGAAAGTTTCTGTTGAAAGATATGCTGATAGTTTTATGGAGTTCCCTTATACAAATAAGTAATTTTTCTCTTGCTGATTTTAATATTTCTTCTTGTCTTTAACTTTTGACATTTTAATTATAATGTATCTTAGTGAGGGTCTCTTTGGGTTCTTTGTACCTGTCAGTGTCCCAAAAGGGATGATCTTAGCACTCGATTCAGGCTGACTGGAAGCCAGACTCTCAGACATCACCTTTCAAAGTATGCAAATAAATACAGTACTGTGGGACCACAAGTGTAAGCCTCTATGACCATCCAGGTGATCTAGAGGTGTCTCCTGGGTGGCAGTCACAAAAATTGGGCCCCTGGATAAGTATATAAGCTATTTTATGTGTGAAGCCAGTGAGCAAGGCAGAGGGAGAGCATCAAGATGGTGTCTGCAGCCTATGTTCCTTAGAGCAGGTCTGTAGGTCACTAAATGTATGTGAGACCTGTAGCCTACCCCTCAAATCAAAGTTCTAGAACAAGCAAAGAGGCCTCCTTCACAGAAAGAAAGAGAGATGTTCCTCAATCACTGTCTATGCAGTGCCATAGGGATGGTAGTTTGCCAGAACCACTCTTTGAGTGCCACAGTCCCATGGAATTCAGGAATGCAAGTCTTCTTGCCCACCAGAGTGAGGCAATCAAGGGGTGTGCCCCAGAAGGGAGCCAAAAAATCTGGTGTACATGAAATGAGGTCCTTGGACATGAATAAAGCTCCCCTCCAGGAGACATTAGCAGTCTAGAGCATGGCAGAAGGTGAGTGCAAAGATAGTATCCATCCTCCAAGGTCTCTGGAAAGGATCACAGTCAACCCCTAGATGTGTGTTTAATTAGAAGCCTGCCCCTCAGTCTGCAGTCAGGATGATTAATAGGCCTCCTTCACCAAAAGACTGAGCTCCTGGGCCTGTTTTCTCTTTCCGTGTCCTGGGGATGATGGCTGTTTAAGAACTCTTTTTCTGTTGTTTACAGTCCTGTGAGACCCATGAGAATAAGCAACAGTGGCCACAGAGCCAGGTGAGGTGTCCCCTGGCAACAGTTGCAAATATTGAGGTGTCAGACAGGGTATGCCTTCCTTTCTGGGCGACACCAATATTACAGTCCCATGGGCCCAGGTAAACAAGCTTCCCTGCCCACTCTCTGTCCCAGGAGAGTGTTCCTGCTGGCTCCTAGATGTGTGTGTTAAATTAGATGTCTGCCCCTCAGACCAACAAGCTTTCATATAAGCTGGTGAGCCTCGTCCATTTTAAGTCTAGTCATGATCAGCTGCCTCTAAGCCAGACCCTGAGGCAGGTGAGTGTGACCACTTGAGCCCTTAAATTGGTGTTTCAGGTCACTACAGTTTTAGTCTCAGGAATGTGAGTCCTATTGGTTTTCAGAAACAGATATCTTGGGGGCTACCCTCTCAAGGGTATGTTTTAAAAGTGTATGTCAAACTGATGTGGGGTTTGAACCCTTTGCTTTTCATGGAGAAGCTGTGCATTTTGAGTTCCCTCCTGATTTGGGGTTGCCAAGTTGGGGTCGGGATTTATGGTGAGATTGTGTCCCAGCCTCTCTTACCTCTTTTGATGTGTTTTTCTTCTCACTTGTCCAATGTGTAGTCGTCTCTCAGCCAGGCTTTAGGGTTTTTAAGAGGAAATTGTTCTATATATCACTATAGACTCACTGTGTATGTGGGAGGAGGTGTATTTAAGACCTTCCTTCTACATTACTGACCTATAATCTTCCAAAGACTAAGCTGTTCCAAACTGAATGACACCAAAGAAAGACATATTGGTTAAATCTAACATGTGATTCTGAACTGGATCCTTTGCTATAAAGGACAGGATTATTAGGATAGTCCTTGAAACTGGAATGGGGTCTGAGAATTATATGGTAGTGATGTAACTGATAATTTACTGATGTTAACAGTCATCCTGTGATCATGTAGGAGAAAGGATTTGTAAGACCTATATAAACCCTGCAGGGGTAATGAAGCATCAGGTTGGTAGCTTTTTCTTAAATGGTTAAAAAAAAATTCTTTCTGCTACACTTGTAACTTTTCTGTAAATTTGTGATTATTTCATAATTTTAAAACTGTTAAGTAAAAATAACTTTTTATTTTTTTTAAAAGAGTAGTTTGATCTATTTGTATTTTATTTTTATGTATGGTATGAGACATAACTAACTTAATTTTTTGAATTTTCATGTAGACAGTCTGTTAATGCTGAATACAAATTTTAAAAGTGAAACTTTGGGGTAAAGATTCTAGGAAGAGGGAAGGGAATGATTAAAGACCAGGAGACAGGAAAATACAGGCTTTTTAGGGGATTGGTTTGGCTAGAATAAAGCACATGTATAGGAATCGACAAAGAATAAAGCTGGAAGGGTAAACTGAGAACAGATCATGGAAGGTATTTAATGCCAAAATGACAGTTTATCCATAATTCTTAGGGTCATGAGAATCATTGAAGACTTGAGTAAGTGAATGATCCTCTGGGTGGACTTCCTTGCATCCCCTACATCCTGCTTGTCAGGGCTTCCTCTGGGCTCCTGTAATTCATTCATTCATATTCTTTATCTCCCTCTCCTTGTTTCCCCCTCTCTCCTCTATCTTATAGTCTGTTCAGGCTGCTATAATAGAATACCACACACTGGATGGCTTATAAACAACAGGGATTTATTTCTCACAGTTCTGGAAGGTTAAAGTCCAAGGTCAAAGTGCTGGCAGATTTGATATACAGGGAGGATTCACTTCCTTGTTCATCAATGGCTGTCTTTTTGCTGTAACCACACAGGGCAGAAGGGGCAAGGGAGCTCTCTGGGGTCTCTTTTACAAGGGCACTAATCCCATTCATAAGGGGTCCACCCTCATGACCTAATACTGCCCAAAGTCCCTACCTCCAAATGCCACCACAGTGAGAGTTGGATTTCATCAAATGAATTTTGGGGTCACATAAACATTCAATCTATTGCACCCTCTCCCTACTGTGGTGACCTGATCTCTTTCTGAGACAGATTCCCAGCCAGAGTGGTGGTGGGTTTTTTTTCTTGTATCCTGGTGATTAGCACATGCCTGGTAAAATATAGCTGCTCAGTAATGATTACTGAACAGAATTCCAGAGCTTAATTTTAAGAAGCAAATGTAGTATCAGTGGAGGTGAGAGAGGACAGGCCAGCCTAGTTAGGAGCTGGGACATTGTCTTGGCAAGAAGGAGTAAGGTAGCAAAGAAAGGACAGTGATAAAAGCAAAACAAGAGGGGCAGGAATGACCTAGTGATGTGGGAAGCTGCATCTTGGCACCTGGTCACATGTGGAGGGTGAAGGAAGAGGTGGAGGAGGATTCTGAAATTTTGAGCCTTAGGACTGGGAGAAAAGTCATGTCTGTAGTAGAAATAGGAAAACTAATCTGTTCAGAATCTCAGAGAGTAATAACATTAAGATAACAGAAAGTGCAAGGTTGCCTTATAATTGATTAGCATTCTGTAGTTCTAGAAACTCATGTCCTTATAGTGGCAAATACCAGTGGTTAGTCCAAAAAAGGGAAACCTTCTCCAAAATGGGGACTAAAAGTAAATGTGAACTTCATAGATCTTCCTTGACATTTTTGCCCAAGAGCCCAAATTTAAAAATCAATCAACATACAGACCATGCTATTTTGTTTCTATAGAGCTTGTTAGACAGTTAGCTGAGGAAACAAACATGAATGTTTAGAGCCAGGACTTCAGACAGCTGCTGGTTTAGGCAGGAATTGATGCTATGCCCATAAACTGTCTTGTCTGAGATGTGAATGTGGGGCAGATAGAACCCCAGGCTCTGCTACCCATTCCTGGAGGCTGGCTGCTGTTGATTGTTATCACTAAAGATCAGCTTGTGTGCTGGGGCATCAGTCAGGATTGGAAATCTAAAATCATATTTTCTGAGCTTGAAAATCATTTCCAATCTCCACCCTTAGACTTATCATTGACCATCTGCTGTCCCACTAAATTGGAGTTATTTGAAGTCCCTACTAAAAAACAGGAAAGGAGACAAGTGGTTTGCAGGTCCCTCAAAGACACTCAGAGCTGCTTCTGTGTCATTCTAACAGTAACTCTGCACAGTCACTAGAATACCACTCACTAGAACAGGGGTGGGCACAGTATGGCCTGAGGGCCCAATCCAACCTTATGCATCCCACTAGGTACCCTCCACAGCTGCTTCTGTGCTGTGACAGCCCAGCTGAGTGTTGTGGCCAGAAGCTTTACGACCTGCAAGTTGAAAACATTTGCTATCCAGCCCTTTACAGAAAGTTCGCTGATCCATGTTAATACTGTGAAGACAGAGGTTGTCTTACTCACTGCTTTCTTCCCAGAACACTGAATGTTTTTCATCCTTTTCTGACTTGAGTTTCCTCTGTCTTTTCTTTCTCCTTTGCTTCTCCAGTAGCTGTGAAGGAACACCTTGGTGGTCGGTTCATCCAAGACCAAAGAGATTACAGAGCTCTGATGGAAAAGACCACCACCACTGCTCTGCTGCATGCCTGCAATGCTGTTTGACCTGGCACTGTCTCTGCAGGGCTTTGTGGATGAAATGGGCCTCCTGAAACTCAGCACAATCCAAGACTATGGCTTTTGGCCGCAGTAAGCTGTGGTCCCTTTTGGAAGTTACTAACATACAAAACCAAGAGCATGACTAGTTTGGGCGAAGCTTGACTCATGAGACATACCCATGTGAGCCTGGGTATCAGGCCCGTGCTCAGGAAGCTGAGTGTGTGTTGCAGCCAGCTTTGGGGAAGGCTCTGAGGAGAGGACCTTCTGGGAGTCCTTCTACCATGTGCCTCAGTTCTTAAAGTGATCCATCAAGCTAGCAAACTGCTAAATAATGACCCTCATGATGGCCTAGGTTCAAATGTCAACTTCTTGGTTTCCATGGAGTTCCACATTGGACCATGGTGGCACAGAGCAAGCTGCCCCATGGCTCACCCCACTTTTCTTCCCCTCTTGTCTTCCAAAAGGGCCTCATTGGCCTTGTGTAGAAATGAGCCTGCATGATCAAGGACCACCTCTGACCCCAGAAAAATGCCCACACAAACTCTGGAAGCAGAAATTAGAGCATTTCAGCAGGGAATTCCTGGGTTATGGGTCTGGTGGGCATGTCTCCCCAGAGATGGGAGTGAAGTAACCAGGGAGGAGGAACAGACTGGAGTTTTCAGGGAAGCCTGGGTGGCCGGCCAAACAATTTAATCTTTCTGGGACTTGGTTTCCTTTTCCATTTAAACAATGCAAAATAGAAAAATCATATAAGGGCTTTGTATCTGAGTACAGAGATATTTTCTAATTCTACAAGCCTGTGATTCTACAAATCTGAAATTTCTAGTACCTAAGCTTTCCCTATCTTGATAACCACCTTGGACAAAATATGGTGGCAGTTCTTCTCTATGAACATCAAGAGTCACAAACTTAACTGCAGGAGACCGGATGAGGCACTGAATTACAACCCAGAGGAGACGCAGTCCCCTAAAGCTTGGACTTCTGATGCTTGGAACAGCTCTCCCCTGGGGGTGACTTTGCCAAACATCCTGGGAAAACCTTCCTTTCTCCATAAGCTCCCCAGTCCTGCTGGTGTAGAACTTCCTCCTCCTTGGCTGTGGTACAAGTGCCCAGGCTGTCTGGAGATTCTTCCAAGCCAGAACTTGCTAACTGTTGTCTGCCTCACCTTCCCGTCCCTTTAGGAGAGCCACAGGAGCAGACACAAACAAAGCTCTGCAGGAGCTTTTCACTCAAAGTAAAAGAGATTCTCTTTTGATTGTGGCTATTCCAAAATCTTGAGCCTTCCAAAGAAGAGCTGAAAGCTTATAAAATCTGGCAGCAAGTCATATTCCAGGAACATGTCCGAGTGGTCTTCTTTCTGAATTGACTCTCTCCATTTTCTCCTCCCCTTCTTTGTAAATCTCCTTTATTAAAACCAGGGAGGTCTTTCACTAGGGTGACATGTTCTAAGGAGATTTGGGCCAGATTTCCAATTGGAATATTCCCCAAACCCAAGCCAAGTGCGGGCATGCCTCCTCTTCCTTGATTTTTTTCCTCTTACGTTTTGTGACTCATGTCTTAAAAAGCACAGTATCCCTGTTGCCTCATATGCCCCTTGCTACCACCTTTAGCTTTTTGAGGTAATCATTTTCTTGGACCTCCTTCTTTCTGCACATGTTTTTGCTGTTTTTTTTTTTATAGTTCTCAGTTCAGCAAGTATTTAGTGAGGGCTTTTTGTGTGTCATGAGCTGGGGAAAATGACAGAAAGACACAGACTTTGCCACTGGAGAACTTAGGTGTACTGGAGACAGACCACTAAACCGAGCTTTTTCCTAAAGGCAGGGTTTGAGTTTGCCAGACCTGACTCTTCCCAGTCCATGATGCCTTTATAAACCCTCACGACTGACCACGACTGAGTGCTTATCCCCTCTCCTGTGTTTTCTTCCCTGTGATGCTGTAGTTGCTCATTTAAATTATAAAACTAGCCAGAAAAGAACAGCATGATGTAAATACCAACAGTACAGCTCTGGGCTTTCCCAAACTCTACTCTAACCCTAGCTAGAATCATTTTATGTTTTTGGTCATTAGTAGATTTAAAAAAAAAGTCAAAACCAGGTTAAGCTCTGAGACTACCAGAAAATAGTTTTGTAATCTCTACAGTTTTTGCTCAGCATCTGTTGTGTGCAAAGTGGGGAGCTAGTGGCTGTGAAGGATTTAAAGTTGCACAGCCCTCTGCCCTTTGGTTGCCTCAGAGAAGCACAGGACTCTCCTTGCTGAGGGAAAAAATGTCACCACCTCATGTTCATTTTCTCTCACGTCCTCTTCTCAGTAACAGTTACTGAGTCTCACCATCTCTCCCCACCCCCTACCCTGGAGCCTGGGGTACACATCCCCACAGTATAATGTGCACTGAGCAGCATTGCTCCAGAAAGCTTTGAGCTGGGAAGCCCATCTGTAGGTCATGGAATGGAGACTGCCTTGGCAAGGAGGTCTATTTGCTCTCTTCATCCCCAAGTATTTTGAAATGGTTTGTCTTAAAACTATTATTTTCTGATTCTTGGTGAGCTGTTATGTGAATAATTAGAACCCCTGTGTGCCCCTGCCTCTTACCATCACTGCAACAGAAACACACTTCATCAGTGTGAAAATGGCCTGGTGCTTTACAAATGAGGCCTTGACATCTTTAAACAGTTACAAAGACAAGCTGGCTCTCCCATCAGACCAAGGATCCACTCTCACCTGTACCTGCCTCTTTGTTTCTTGTCCTAATTACACCGATGACATAGGATCCAAATAAGCTGGGCAAATGGACATGAAACCTAGATTCAGATAATGCCCAGCTAGCAATGGATAATGTTTACATGCACTGCTAACTGGGTGTTTTCTTTGAACCCCGTAAAGCAGACTTGACATGGAACAAGACTTGTGTAGTCCCTTCCACCCCAGCACTGCAGAATCTTGATGTGACAGCACTCCTGTGGTAATAACTCTCACAGAAGCTCACACAATGACAGGAAGCCTCATAGACACAAAGAATGTCTAAATACCAGATGATGCACACCAGGGAGACTGGCGAATTCACATAGTTTGTGATCAGTACATTTACGTTTTATTTTCTCCTTAAAAATAATACACATATATACATGCAGAGAAAAGCAGATCCACTTGAAACTAGAGCAATATTGAAGTCCAAGCTACTAGTAGGATGCGCCTTCTACTGGTATAATTTCTACTTCTGTGGTCTGGATGAGAAAGGTGTTGTATATGTTTGGCTGGGTCAGTTTTGCCATCAGATGTTCCAGGTAAGCAGGTCAGTTTTGGTTTGCTTCTGAAAGAGTCCCCTTTGGAGTTTGTTATGCAGCACATGCATGTGTTCTGCTGCCCAGGGATTACTTAGGCTGGCTGCTGATCAGATGACCATCTGGCGAGCCCTCCTGCACTTCCAGCAGCCCAGAGCTCCTTTCCAGCTGCAGTGAGGAGCACCAGGGCATATCAGACCTGCGGAAGGAGATCAGATGGACTCTTGTCATCTCGGCTTTCTGAAGAAATGATGCCACAGTTTTTAGATTTTAGAACTTTAACAGCCATCAACCACGGAAAGAAACTCAGCCAAGGGCACGGTGATTCTGCCAGATTACCACGGTTATGGGCTTTGTTGTGTTTCCTTGTCTGTGCAAAGGCTGGACCACATGATCCCTCAGGTCCCTCTGGCTCTATGGCACCGACATTGCAAAGGCTCACACCCTCTGTGTGCACATGCTGACATCTTAGAGGGAAGCTACACCTTTTGTGCTGTTTCCAAAGACTGTCATGGTATCTTTTGGTTTGCTTTCTAGCAAGAAATTTACCATGCTCTTCCTGCCTTAAAAGCCAAGAAGTCATGATATGGGTCATCCTCGAGATACAGAATTCCCTATGTCTACTTACTACAGAGATGGCTCCTGGGAAGCATGAAAATTTGACTGGGGGATAGATGGAGTGATACTGGAGCTGGCGTTGGGGACAGCAGCTCTAGACCAAAGCTCAGGCACTAAGTCTGGCTCCTGGAGAAGCAGACCTTTGCCAAGGTGACCTTTGTAACTGGAGAGACACGGTCCCTGTTAGAAGGTGCCGAATGAACTGAACCAATACCCAGCTATGGGGGTCAGGACAGGTCAGCAAGAAGGGGGTTGGATGTAGGCCTACCCAGTCTAGACAAAATGTGGTTTATCAATTATCTGGTTTTACAATCACACATCCTCTTAAGAAGATGACTCATCTAGTATTTAGGGCTAAGAGCATACTTTGAAGTGGGGCAAGGATCCCAATCAAGGCTGCAGATACTCTGAAACAAACTGATAAGGATATGTTGTTATCTGTGGAAACTCTGTGCCAGTGTGTAAGAATAAGAAGCAGAAGTTGATCTGAGTTGTTACTGATTCTAGAAAACACATGTGATGGTCATACAGTTATTAACCCATTGAGGATGTTTCTAAGTTGACTGAGCATCTATCACCTAATCATCTGTCAAAACCTTGACCCTCACTTGTTTTCTAAAACAGATTGTGAGACTCCACAAAGCCTCATCCCAAAGATATTTTCTAGGGCTGAGTCCTTTAAGAATTTAAAACATTCTTGATAAACAGACACACTGATCTCTAGATAATGAAATGTTGGTGTGGTCCTAATTCATAAGCTGGGGCTGTGAAGCCACCAGCTCGCTGACCCTTCTGACTTGCTGACCCTCTCACGTTTGTTCAGAGGCAAGTTGTGACTGTTTTCTAGAACTCATTACGAGAAACCACTGTTGTCTTGTTTTTAGGATACTTTAAAGAAATCATTTTAAAGTGGTATAATGTAAACAAGAACATATTTGTCATTTGTTTCATGACATTTATTTATATACAGTGCTATACAGAAGGATTTTTGCAAACCTTTATAACTATCATAAAGTTAAAATTATGTTTGAATCACAAATTTATTATAAAAGTATACCAATTTAATAAATATGATGCAGTAGGTTTTCTAATATTTGCATGCTAAAACATAATCAAAAGAATGGAAAAATTGTCACATCCAATAAAGGGGAGAAGTTTGGAATTAACTGCTGCAGATCACAGACTGTCAGCAACCCTTGCCTGACCCAGACAGGACCTGGTTTTAGCCCTTGAAGAGAGACTATGCCAGGTGGGGGTGGGGTGACCATTGGTAGTTCTAGGAAACACTTTTGTTGCCCAATTATGTATTCTAAGTTATAAAAGAGATTCATAACTGCAAGTCGCTTTCAAAGAAAAATTTTCTACAGGTGTAAATAGCAAATGCAAGATTTATAAATGAGAGAGTGGCTGGAAAATCTTAGCAGGACAGTCTTCCCTGGACAGGGACCTTTACTTCGGCATTTCTGGGCTCTCTGGAGGAATGGGGGCAGAGTCAATCTTGACAAGGAGCCATTAGGTCTTTACTGGTCAAGAGGAAGGGGAAAAATACATCACACAAGCATGACTTTGGAAAGGAGTGTTCTAATCATTAGCAGTATTGGCTTTTTCTTGCAGTTAAGAAACTGGTAGGAGGAATGAGAATTTCAGCACATCCTTGCTTATTGGAAAATGCTTTGATTTTTTTAATTTACTTTCCAAATAAGTCTGGAGAGAATGGTGGGCTAATTCCTCCCTTTAAAATCCCAGGCTTAAGCCAAAGCACCTGCATTGGTGCTTCCTCCAGTACTTTCTTGAGCTTTCTCTCTCTCTTTCTGGGGAACTGGGATGGGGCAGCATGCTCCTTACACTGGGAACTGTGCCAGGGCAGGAAGCACCTGTCCTAAGAGTTTTCAGAGGCCAGGAGACATACCTACTATTGCTTCTTGCTCCATCATCTTCATATTTTTATAAAGAACAAAGAGCCCTCTTCCTAAATGAGACAATAATCCTTGCTCTAACCAAATATGTTCATTAATGAAATGGAGTGCTGGTTAATGCTCTTCCTTTGGAACTCATACATATGATCAGACAAACATGTTAAGTATCCCAACAACCCAAACTCTCTAATATTCTCTTTATTATTCTCTCCTGTCTTCTCGGCTTCTTATTTTCAAAATCCACACTTTTTCCACTGTAAGCAAAAACATGTGGGAAAGGTTTTTTTCAAAAATACTCTCCCATTCCATCCAGACGGTTTCCTGATTGTAAAAGGAACCTGTACAGCTGCTGACTGCAAAGTCCTTCAGCACAGGACCACTGGAGAGTGGCACAGATGTGGGGACATGGAAAGCCCAGTATGGGTGGGGCTCTCTGCAGGAGGCATATCTGGGCCTCGGGGGCTCTCAGGCCCAGGGAAACAGTTCCTGAGCTGTGGGTGTGCCTCAAGCAGTGGACTGTGACAGGGTGGCAGAGATACCTTGGCTTGTCAACTGACTCCAGCAGCTCGAGGGTGTAAAGGGAGGTCGTGGGTTTCAGTCTGCTGTTTAGCAAAGTTCACAAATACCTGGAGGCAAGAAAAGAGCAAGAGTAGGTAGATGTTTCTAGAAAAATGGCACACACACCCCACGCCCCATTACCCACTTTGCTTCCTCATTTCCACAGTTAAGGTACGACCCTGCTGGAGCAGCTGTATCCTGCAGGAAGGGAGGCTGGCCCACCCAAGGAAGCCCTGCTGCCAGCGCCCTGGACAGGGCTGTTTCTCAGAATTTCACACTAAGCCAAGGAGTTTCCGTGGGAGGACTCAAAGGAATTGCAGCCCCAGAGCTTGACGTAAACAGGCAAGGCAGCTTCTCAGCGAGCAGAGGCCTCCTAAACCCCTAAAGAAGAAACTAAAAACAAACAAAGAGGACTCCGGTCTCTTCTTTTTTCTGTTCTTTATTCAATGTGCAGTGTGGCCAGGACCGCAGCTCCTGCCTCATCTGCTTGTGGCTGATGGGAGGTGCTGGGGAGCAAGCTCCTCAAAGTGTAAACGGAGACTTGCCTTGCCTATTTCCACTGCCTCCTTGAATAGTCTTTAATGATGTTTATTTAAAACAAATAGCAACAATAAAAAATCCCCAGAAACAACTCAAATATCAAACAAATGAATGGATAAACAAAGCATGGTGTATACAACCCCCACACACATATACACTAAATGGAATATTACTCAGCCTTTAAAAGGAGATTCTGACACATGCTACAACCTGGATAAATCTTGAGGACATTACAACCAGTGAAATAAGCCAGTCACAAAAGAACAAATACTGTATGAATGTACTGATATGAGGTGTGTGGAATAGTCAACAAAAAGAAGAACAGTGGTTACCAGTGGCTGAGGGGAGTGGTTAATGGGAAGTTATTGTTCAATTATGTAATTTTTACCATAATAAAAAAAGTGATCACAGTAAAAAATGGGACACATAGCATACACATTTAACAGAACTCACTGAATGAGACACTTGAAGTGGATGCATTTGATTGTAAGTAAATTAAGCATCAGGAAAGTTGATTTGAAAAGAAAATAATCTACCACCACAAATCAGGAAGGATGAAATAAAGCCATAGTGTGGTGAGGAAAGCTGATGTATAGTCAATGAAGTTTTCTGATGGCTAAATTACTGCTAGAAAACAATTTCTGATATACCATATTTTTTCCTAATGGGCAGAGGAACTAGAATAAAAAATCAGGCATGTTGTGCTCCCTCTCTGTGGACTCCAGCCCAGGTTGGGAATTCCAGCCTAGGCTTTGCATAGCCCTGCTCTGCGGCTCGACACCCCTCCGGCAACTCGCCTGGTCCAGCGTGGTCTGTGTGACCGAGTACTCCTCGATGAGCAGGCTGTCCTTGTGGGAGATGAGCAGCTGGAAGATCCTGGCCAGGGAGGAGGAGGAGACCTGAAACTGGAGCATGTTGTAGTGTCTCTCCCTCTGCACACTGCCTGGGAAATTCCCCTGGAAGAACTGCTCCACGGGATTCAGGTCAGGAAGCAAGTCATCCTTTGGGGATTTGATTTTCATCGTGACAATGTAGCCATCTCCAAACCTAGGGGATGCACACCAAGGCAGGGCATAGGCCTGTCAGTAGTTGGGTCTACAGCAAACACCAAATAAGGAATAGCCTCATCAAAAATATTGGAGAGAAAGGCCCGTGCTATATATATATGATATATATTAGGAAAATAAAACCAACCATAGTTCGGGGGAAATAGTTTTATACTAGTGTCTAGAAGAGGCCTGAATGCCTGTGTGGTGAAGTGGGTCACCAGACCTGACCTTAGCTTCCTATATCCAATCCCTGGAGACATGGATGCTCCCCACTCCTTTGCTTCTCACAAACCTGCTGGTCAAAGGTACTTACAGCCCCGTGCGGAGATCACAGGCCGCCCATGAAGGCCTGTGGGGCTGGTGCTTCCTCAGGGGGAAAAAGGGGTTCTTCAAGAGACTGGACAGGTGGGAGTAAAGACCTGGGAAGGCGGCACTTCCCTGTAGGCCTACCAGCCAGTCTCCACATATGCCCTGATCAGGAGCCCCATCCAGACTCAGCAAGCCTTCAGCCTCAGGCATTTAGCCCACTAGATAGGAATTCTTTTAGCACAGTGGTTTTCTCCATCTTGCTGCAGAACAAGGCCCAGACGCTACCTGCCTGTGCCGGTGGGATAAGGGGCAGCAGGACCCTCCGAAGCGTCAGTAGAGAGTGCAGGACCTGGTCGACCCCCTCGGAAGTTAACAAAGGCGACCCCCCACAGTATCCTTACTTGTACTTGAGGTGCTGAATGGTGCCCAGACATTGAAAGGCACCCTTCACCATGATGGCCAGCCGAGTGCACAGGGCCTCACATTCTTCCATGCTATGAGGTGGGAGACAAGGTGAGGGTGGGCGGACTCCTGCCTGCCCACCTGCTCCACCCCACCCCGGCCCCTGGGAATCTCGTGCCTGTGGGATGTGAGGACCACAGCTCTCCCTTCTCTGATGATGCTCACGATGGTGTTCCACAACATGCGCCGCGCCTGGGGGTCCATGCCTGTGGTGGGCTCATCCTGTGGGGAGGCAGAGAGGGCAGGGGGCTGCACTTGGAGGCAGCCTCTCCTGGCTACTGTGCTCTCCTTGGCTGACTCCCTCCCAGCATCTCTGCTCTCTGGCAGATGATGCATAAAGTCACTCCCCAGTGAGCGAGACCCAGGGAACCCAGGTGCAGGGATGGAAGGCAAGATATGAATCAGGACAGTAAAGAAACGCCATTCACACCTCTAGACCCATTTCAGCCCATGAATGGGTTAAGGCTGATTAAGGCAATGTTAGAATTACCTTAAAACAAAACAAAACCCTACACATATGTTTGTAAGGAGGCTGGGAGATAGCCCAGGTGACTTTTCTGGATGCTTCCAAGTTCTACAACCCATGCCCTTATAAACCCCAGACCTGCATGAGTTTAGTTCTGGCAAGAATCGCATGAACCTTTGATCCAGGCCAGTGCTCCTGTCCACTTTGATCCCAAACAGAGCTCCTCAGGCAGTAGTAATTTCTGACCAGACACTAACATTCCAGAGAGGGGCTGAACTTCCCTGCTGGGAGCCTGTGGCCCCACAAGAGACTTCCCAGAAACTCGGAGTGAGAATGTGCTGCAACTCCAGTTTTCCCCGAGAGCTATGATCCAAACACTGGGCTGATTTGCTCAAAATGAGCCGTATAGGGATCCTGACAAACACAGACATTGGCATTTTCTAAACCCACTGACCCAACTGCAGAGATGCAGTACTTGGTTAAAGTTCTTGAGCCCGTTTGTGCCCTGCAACTCCCGGTGGCCCTCACCAGCCCATCTGCCCCCAGCAGCTCCCTGTGGCCCTCACCAGCCCATCTGTGTGCCCTGCAGCTCCCCGTGGCCCTCACCAGCCCATCTGTCTGCCCCCAGCAGCTCCCCAGGGTCCTCACCAGCCCATCTGCCCCCAGCAGCTCCCCGCGGCCCTCACCAGCCCATCTGCCCCCAGAAGCTCCCCACGGCCCTCACCAGCCCATCTGCCCCCAGCAGCTCCCCGCGGCCCTCACCAGCCCATCTGCCCCCAGCAGCTCCCCGCAGCCCTCACCAGCCCATCTGTGTGCCACCAGCAGCTCCCCAGGGTCCTCACCAGCCCGTCTGCCCCCAGCATCTCCCCGTGGCCCTCACCAGCAGCACCAGTGGTGGGCAGCCTATAAGCGCAATGGCTGTGGAGAGTTTCCGCTTGTTGCCTCCACTGTAGGTGCCAGCCAGGCAGTCTGCATAAAGAGACAGGCCCAGGCTCTGAATACTCCAGTTTGCCACCTAGGGAAGAGAAGACATCTCATTTGGGAAAGACAAAAAAAGCAAACACCCCCAACCTCCACCAGTCAAAGTCTGGGCCCCAGGATCTCACACCTCCAGGATGACAGACCCAGTTAGGCAGCAGCAGGGCCATCTGCTGGCTCATGGTGTGGCTTAGTGCCTTCATACTCCAGATGTCTCCTTTCCACTCTGTGCCTTAGATCCTGGTGTGGCTTGGTTAGCTCAGCACTGTTGGGTGCAAACCCTTAGAAATGGCCTTGAGCCTTACAAAGAGCAAAACAGGGCTTGTCACCTCAGTTCCTGGACTATGGCTGGGACTGGAAAAGGAAGAGTCCAAGGGTCTGTTTGAGAAGATGGTGAATTCAAGACTTGTGGAGTCCACCCCTCAACATGGTCACACTTGAAGTGTATCTAATATATATTCATTGAGCAACAACCATGAGCCAGGCATAGTTGGAGAATAATGGTGAATATAGCCACTGCTGCTGTATTCACCGATGGGGTGGGGTGACAATCAATAAACAGAATAACAACAGATTACAACAGTGTTTTGAGGAGACTCAGTAGGAAACTAGGACAGAGAATGCCCTGTGCATGTGCACAGGAAGAATATTAAGGAAGTCTTTGGAGACAAGGCCAGCATACTTCTGCCTCCTGCACTTGCACCTTGGCCTGAAAGTTCTTCCCCTAAATATCCACATGGCTCACTGTCAACTGCCTTAGGTCTTCATGCAGAAGTCACTGTCTCTGTGAGGCTTTCCCTGGGTCACCCTGCTAAATGTGCAAACCCCACCCTAACCATTCTTCCCTGCCTTATTTTTCCCCTTACGATTTTTCCCTCACAAATGTGCTATGTGCTGTATATTTTACTTATTTATCTATTTATTGTCTGTCCCTTCCACTAGAATGTAAGCTACATTTTAAACTTTACTTGGAATAGTTTCCAACTTACAGAAATATGTAAGAATAGTGTAAAGAATATTCATAAACCCTTTAGTCTCTTTTTCTCTCTCCTTCTTCCTCTCTCTCTCTCTCTCACACACACGCACACACATTTTTTCGGACCCATTTAAGATAAATAATGCACCATGAGCCTTCTCTCCTAATTACTTCAGTGTCTTCTATTTCCTAAGAACAGGGATATTCTCTTACATAATCACAGTAAAGTTGTCAATGTCAGCAAATTTAACATTGTTATAAAGTTGTCAATGTCAGCAAATTTAACATTGTTATGATACTTTTACCTCATCTACTTTTAATAGTTTTGTTTTGTCATTTGGCCCAAAAATGTCCTTTAAAGCATTATTATCTCTCTGGTGCAGAATGCAGTCTATTATTCAGTCACTGTGTCTACTTAGCCTCCTGTAATCAGGAACATTTCCAGAGCCTTTCTTTGTCTTTTATGACTTCAACACTTTTGAAGATGACACTGTGTTTTTTTTAAATAGAATATTCCTTTACAGTTGTCTGATGTTTCCTCATTATAAGATTCAGGTTATGCATCCCCAGTCAAAATACTACATCACTGAAGTTGTATCCTCAGATATCACATCTAAGTGATATGAACCATCCCTTTTCTCCTATTTATTTATCCATTTAACAATATGGAGTTATAAATTCCTTCTTTTCCCCCAGTGTTTTACAACTTATCATGGTATTTAATTATCTCAGTGCTCAGATTGTCCCATACTTATTATCCATTGGGAACACCTTCAAGATGACTCCTCTGTACTTGTCACATAACTCTTTATTTTTAAAACACTCTTCTTTACTTTCTGGTATAATAAGATGTCCCAGGGTTATTTTATAACTATGTTGTCCCAGTGCTGGAATTCATCATTTTCCTGAGGAGTCCTTTGAGGGGGGAATGGTATTAGAAACCAAAATCTGGATGCTAAGTGTGCTCATTGCTATTGGGGTATTTTTGCTTCTTGGCCCTTTCAGTGGACAGATATGCATATACACAAACATACATATATACACACATACACATGCATATGTGTAATATATATGCATATGTGTAATATACATATATACATATGTGAATGCATGCACAAACATGCATATAAACTTCATGAGTTCACAGTGATATCTCCAATTCCAATCCATCCCCAGAGGGTTCTTTCTTGCTTTCCCCATTTCCAATATTTGTATGTCCCTTCTTCCACAGTGAGAACTCTGCCTTCAAAGATTAATACATTTATTCCTTTACTTAATCCTACAACACATCTAAAATTGTTTCAGAATTGCTTTTCACATGCCACTATAAAAAACAAACTGACTAAAAATAGCTCAGAATTTGTTTGTAGTTTTTTCTTTCTGCTCTACTTGCCCAAGATTAAGGCTATATAGTCAAATACTATGTCATAAGTTATTTGTATTAATATTTTCTTCTGTATGATTATAGTATTTATTTGAAATAAATTGGATTAATTTGTTTTATTTTGCTTTCAGTGTTAGGATTTTCTTTTTGCTTTCATTTTTATCCCTTTTCCATTCTTATTGATTTAGTTTCTTTTAATATGTAGAACATTAACAGGCTTCCAGAAGTCAAAACTATAAAAAAAGGTATCCTCAAAGAAATATTTCCTCCTCATTCCTTTTCACCCCATTTCTCTCTTGTCAATCACCAAATTCATTGTTTTCAGGTTTACTCTTCCTGTGTTCTATTTATAAAGTTAAACAGACATAGGTAGGTTTTCTTACTTTCCCTACTTTCTTTCATTAAAAAGTAGCATTCCATCTGTACTCTCTTGTACTTTTCTTTTTTCACTTAATAATATCTCTTGGAAATAACTTCCTATCAGTTTGCAGAGATTTTCCTTGTTCTTTCTCTTCTGTCCTTTACTTTTTTTCCTAGTTGCAAAAGACCTTACTGTGTGTATATCCCATAAATTATCCATCCAATCTCCTATACCTGAACAACTGAGTAATTTCCAATGTTTTGTGCCCACAAATGCAATGAACCATCTTGCACACGTGCATCTGTATTGATGGGGAGGTGTGTACCTTCAGGGTAAATTCTCAGAAGTGGGACTGCTGAATTGAAAGGTAAATGCATATATTGTTTTGTTATGTATAAAGGTAGGGATTTTTTTGTTTTGTTCATTGCTATGCCCCCATCTTCTAGAACAGTACTTGGCACATAGTAGGCCCTTAGTAAGCATTTGTTGAATGAATGAATGAATAGATAGTGTGCTCCAGCTTTTCCATGTCTACATAAATACACTTCCATGAGACAAGCTATGGTCCTGAGTGGCCACAAGAAATCAGTTTTTACCCTCTCGATTTCTTCTCCTGGTACACCTCGAAGCCGGGCATAAAGATAAAGATTCTCTCGACCCGTGAGCAGGTCATCAACTGCATCAGACTGAGGACAGTAGCCCATACTTTGATGGACGTCAGAAATATTGGTTAAAATGCTGCAAGAAAAGAAAGCAATTAGGAAGTACCTTCATAGAGGGGGTGACCAGAGAGCTTCTGGTCCTGGGATAAGCAAACTGCCTCCTCTCCTTCTTTGCTTTGGAAATGAGCATAACATTTAGGAATCAGAGGAGGGACCCTTTGGTTAGAAATTGATGAATTTCAGGAGTTCTGAACTTTGAATTCAGTCAGATACTCCTAAGTTTCTGTGTCTATAAATTGAATACCTGTAACTGAAGTTAGCTTTGGTTTTGAAGTGGATCACATCACATGTGAGTTTAAACACAAAGGGAAGATCAGATTTAAGAAATGAGAAGTGTTTTTTGCTCCCTTCCAGACATTTGGGAAGTAGCTAGAGAAGATGCATGCTTCCCTATGGCAGTCAACTTCTCCATCTGTAATTACTGGCAGAGATACAATCAATGAAAGAGGAATCATTCTGATCACCACCCAGAGCAAGGTGGCAGAGAGCAGAAATGAAGTGAATTCTGAGTTCTATCAACTACCTTTGACTAACATTCTCACCCACTAGAAAACATATTGTCTTGGTGAAAAAATAAACTGTCCATAGATTGGCCTAATCTCTTTCCCCTTCCATCATAGCTTTATTCCCCCTATGAATAAAGGAAGGAAGCAATAGGATGGGACACAGAGAGGCCCCCACTATAACAAAAAGACTTCAGGTATGGCTGGGCCAATTAAAACCACCCAGGGAAGCAAGGAGGGTGCCTCACCAAACTCACAGGAGCTGCTCCGTCGGAGAATCTCAACCTGCATCTGAAACCTGTAGTCTCCTTCTAGTTTTCATCTCTGTTTCGTTCTCTGGGTGTCAGACTATGTCTTACTTGGAGTATAACTTGATGTCTCATGGTAAATCCTATTATGTCCTCCTACCCTCTTCCCCTTGCCCCATCAAGACTTGTTTTGTTACCATTGTGGAGTCATTTGCTTGGCTACAGGCTAAGTTGGATCTGCAGTTGAGACAGACTCGGCCATGACCTTGCTCACCCCTGCCAGTTGCTTTGCGCTAGACCCAACAGGGATGGCTGGGGAAGGCTAGGGAAACAAATTCATCCTGTTTGAGCCAGGACTGAAGCATGTCAGGGCTCCCCCTGTCCAGTGGGCATGGAGCCTTGTTGACGATGGTTCTTAGGTGAGGGAAGGAGGACCTAGTTATGCAGGTACTGGGCAGACGTCTGCAGTGCCTGACTGCACCTGTAAACCAGGGCGGAGGGCTCCTCTGGGCACATCTAATATGTGTGAGCTCTGCTGTTCAAGGAGCAGTCTGGGAGGAGATAAACAAGTGCAAGCTCATGATCTTCACCCTGTCCCATAGAGGACCAGTCTGTTTACTCACACCTTATTAAGAGAGCAGCAGGCACTCTCTGGAATCCAAGGGCACATGCCAATTTTCCATTTATAAAGGCTTCTTGGCCCAGCAAACCCAAGCATCAGCACAGAAACAGCCAATGTGGATTGGGGACCCCAAGAGCCCTTGAACCAGCCCCCACCTAGAAACTCAACCCAGAGAAAGGATACTTCATCACAGGGGTTCTTAACTGGGGAACCAGGGACCCTGCAGGGTCATAAATGTCTTCAGGGCTCAGTAAATTACCTGAAACTCTGCAAAAAATGTGTGGAGGGAGGTAATGGGAGACAGTGGTATGTTTTTATAGGGAGAAGGTACAAGTATCCTTTAGATTCTCAAAGGAGTCCATGACCCCCAAAAAATGAGAACCATTTAGTGCTTCCCACAGCTTTCTGAGAATCCATGCTAACAGAGGACTCTCTTAACAATCACAGTTCCATTTTCCAAAGGGTTTTTATCTTGCAGTTTTAGGACTATGCTCGCTGGGAGGTCCACTCCTCTGTACAGGTCTTTCATGTCTCGAGTCACCCTTAGATATAGGATCTGATGCTCACTCTCCCTATGTCGGGATGGGGACTTGGCTCAGGATCCATCCATGAGAGACACCCTGAGACAAGATGAGCAGGACACTTACCTCTTGCCTCCTACAGTGGCATCGCCTGAGGTCACCGTGGTGTCCCCAGTGAGCATCCTGAATGTGGTTGTTTTGCCAGCTCCATTCACTCCCAGGAGGCCAAAGCACTGAGGGAGAACACACAGAATTGCCCTCACCCTAGAGCCCAGGACGGTCTGGGATGTCAGGCCCTAGGCCAAGTGTGTGAGTAAGGGAAAGGCATTTAAGACCTGTGCTGCCATTATGGAAGCCACCGCCCACATGGGGCATGGAGTAGTAGAATGTGCCACTCCAAAATAAGCCACTTTGGCATAAGGATGATTTTGAGCTGAAAGCAGTTAAGAAGATGCAGATGTAAGAAAAGCTCTCTGCTCTCCCCTATTTGCCTAAAAAAGGACATGAATTTAAAAGGTGTCCCCCCTCCCCTCTCTATCAGGAAGGACAAAAGTTAATCACCAGAGATAACTTTAGGCCCTTAGCAGCTTGAAGACAGCCCCAGAGGAATCTACACAACCACCTTTACTAATTAGCCCATATCTACCATTAGTGTCCCACGTATTTGCCTTTCTACAATTTGAGCCTCAGAGACTCCAGATCCTTTCCCTTTATCTTGTCACTTCTATAAAAATGTTCCTTTGCTAAAATGCTATATAAGCCCAAACCCTAACCACCCGTTTGAGTCATTCATCTCCAATTGCTCCCCTGTGCATGTGCGGTGCACATGCTAACAAGCTTATATTTGTTTTTCTCTTCTTAATCTGTCTTTTGTCAGTCCAGTCTTCAGTGCCCCAGCCAGAGAACATAGGCAGGTAGTGAGAAAGAGAATTTCCCTCCCCAACAGTGGCTACTGAGCATTTCAGACACATCTAGTCTGAACCGACATGTGCTATAAGTGTAAAACACACATTGGATTTTGAAAACTTAAAATGAAAAAAAAGTAAAATATTAATACTATTTTATATGAATTGAAGTACATTCAAATACATTGGGTAAAATAAACAATCAAGATTAATTTCTCCTATTTTCTTTTTATTTTTTTCATGTGACTAGAAAATTTAAAATGACCTGTGTGCCTTGCATTTTATTTCTGTTGGCTTGCTCTCCTCTAGAGGGGAGACGAGGCCTGAGGCCTGTGCATAAGCTGGCTTCCTGACGCCCTTTCACATGCGATCTGCAGACTACCCACCTCTCCAGGGCGGACTCCAACGCACAGCCTGTCCACTGCTGGGCTAGAGGTGCTGGAATAAATCTGCAAGATCCAGAGAAACAGGACTGAGTGTAGAGAGGGTCAGAGCAGGGAAGGGAAGAGACAGCAAACAGCAAAGGATGCTTTAGGTGAAAACTACCAATACAAAGGGGCTACGTATCGACATGGGTGTTCAGAGAAGTACTCCGAGTGCTGAGAAATCTCGAAGCTGACCCTCTGTGCATAAATGGAGTGGAGAAAAATTAGTGATGCTCTGTTGTGTGGCCCTCACTGAGGTTAGTTCCCAAGATGCATGATAGGTGAATACACTGGAATTAGATATTCTTGAAGATGAGTTAGAACACAGAAATGATAGCACCACATAAAATTAGGCAAGCGAATCGCTTGTATAAGTCTATCAGTTATTCTATAGAAGGCAAATCACAGCATCTTGCCATCTCTGGTTCAAATTGGCATCTCCAAACTAACACACCCACACCTGTTCTCTTACCTTGGTCAGTTCATTAAGGCTTAAAATATCAGTTTTGTTTCCCCCACTAAGAATTCTTTGTCTTTCTTCAGCCACATCATCATCTTCATCTATGATGGGCTCCTTAGTGGTCACGGCGATCCTAGAGGAAGGAAGGGGTCAGGATTGGGCTGAATACAGCATCCTTGGCACTGTCCTCTTCCTCTTTACCTTCTTCCTCTTCCCCCACTTCTGCTCTAGCCTGGCCTTCCATTCCCCAAGGATTGAATTCTCAAAAGGACTCCCAGTGGAAGAGGCATCGGGCAGAGAGGGAAGTGCTCAAATCCAGAGTCAGCCCCGGTTTCCAGGCCTGGCCTTCCCATGCGTGACCCTGGGCAAGTCACTGAACCTCTCTACACCTTACCTCCTTCACCCATAGGACAGGGAGGGGACAGTCCTGTCTACCTCATAGGGCTGTGGGGAGGGAGACCATGGAATAGCGTGTCTCGAACCCTGGCAGCTGTTGTCATTACTAAATCACTTCAGCCATGGCAAGCACTCTGCAAATGACAGTTACTAGCAACCAATCCTCCTCCTTCCTCACGCCCATCAGGTCACCTCATGCCTCCAACCCCTTCATGGTCCTCCGTCAGCTATAGGTTAAAGTCCTGACTCCTCAGCTGGAATCCCAGACCCTGCAGAGGCCCTGCCCACCTTTCCCATCCACTTGAACTGACTCCTTCACTAGTCATTTGATCTACTCTTGGTTCCCAGCCTGACTGGCCTTTCCCAGCTGTGGGCATTTCCAGTGCCTCCATGTTCTCTTCCCTCTGTCCTGCCAGTGGAATAGTCCAAACTCTTACAGACAAAGCCTCTCCTCTGAGACCCTCTCTGACCCCCTTGGCCTATTATCTTGCCTCTACCTTCACTGGCCACAGTCAGTTCATCACTGTCTCATCTAATAAACTTCCTACTGATTATCCAATCAACCCACTTTTCTCCATCTCCCTATGCCCCCACTCCTATCCGAGCCACCACTGTCTCTTGCCTTTGTGACAAGAGGGCCTGCTGTGTGGTGTCTCTGCTTCTAGCCCCAGCAGATCATTCAGTTCCCTGATTAAAACACTGCAACAGTTCCCTGCCGCCCCCTTACATTCAAAGTCCTCGCCAAGGTAAGGGGGCATTTCAGGAGCTGGCCAGCCTACCTCTACAGGCCCATCTCAATTCCCCCTCCCCCTCACCCTTCATGCCATCCTGAACACCTCACACGAGGCATGTCCTCTACCATGTTCTCTTTGCTTGGTTGCCTGAGTATGGGCCGGGCTGGGGGCTTCTTGGAGCCAGACGTTGTAGAATGCTTCTTGGGTCCTCCTTTGGGCCTACTATGTCAGGACTCGTTCAACTTTGTTGACCAGAATTTGGAGTTAATGGTTCTACTTTGATCAATATCTTTTTGCTTCCCCCTTCACCCCAAGGCCTCCTAAAGATGTGGCCAAAGCTGCAGAGGGGGGCTGCAAGGGCTCAGGGCCCCCACGGACAGTCCCTCACGGTTGCCTCCCATAGCTACCACCGTGTCTGGTCATGCTGTCTCATTCTAGGTGTGCTGACACGTTGTCTCATTCAGTCCTCACAACTCTGTGAGGCGGGACATAGACTTGTTTCTAATAACTAAGTTCCCCATGGATCAAAACCTAAAAACAAGTCCTCTGAATCTTTATTTAAATGTGACGGACTCAACTTGAGAGAATGAAAGGATAAAACAAAACGACCTGTCCAGGAAAGTTTGTTCTGAGGGCCCAGTGATTTGCAGTTCAGGCGCCTGGCCTGAGCCCAGTAAAGACCAGCCCGGATTGCAGAGCGGCTGGCTTCTGGGAACTCGAGTACCCTTAACCATTATCATTTGCAATACTATCCTCCAATTTAAAATGAGTATTTGTTGATTAAATGAGAGGGATTGAATATTAATGATTGAAACTAATAACATTGTGTTTTAAATACTTTAAAGTTTAGATTTTTCACCAACTCGAGTGTGCCTATTTTAATATGTCTTTCCTTATGTTATTAGAGCAAGCCAGGTTTTGAGAATGTAAGAATCCAGCCTGGAGTGGGGACCACGCGGTTGTGAAGCGAAGTCCCTGGACTGTGCCAGAGCTGCCCTGGGCACCCTCAGGGCAGCAGCTCCTCCGTACCAGCGGGTGAGGAAGAAGTGGTGCTGGAAGAGCAGGGTCAGGAGAAGGTACACCACCCCTTCCACCGCCATGGCCGCCAGGTTCTTCCCAATCAGCTCCCACTGGAATGGATTCGAAGAGTGCTCCTCACCTGGGACAGAGGCCACAGAAATCGACAGGAATTTAGTTCACTCAGCTACTACCCCAACTGTCCCTAAAGATCTCGCCACAAGGCATGGACCCGCGAGGCCAGACTTTATGCAAGGCAGTCAGAGAGAACCACATGGGGGCCTCCTCTTGCTCCTCAGGTCGGGTGGAAAGAGCCTGCCCTTGACCCCTCCTGCGGCTCCTCGGCCACAGAAACAGAGGCACACTGATCTCCTCAGGAGCCCCTAGCCCCAGCCCAGGCTGCAGGTCTGGCATCGGAACTCCCGCTGCAGCCCTCCCAGCCTGGAGGCCCGGGCCACGCTCCGTGGCCCTCGACTGCCACCCACCAAAACGGGCATAGACGTCTGTCACGGCCTGGCTCAGCGCCAGGTCAATGAGGCCACGGCCCAGGCAGAAGTGGGGGAAGATAACGAGCAGCTTCCTCAGCATGGCATTGAACCTGAGCAGCGTCTGAAATACAGAGAAGCAGGACAGTCAGTAGCTAGGGCAGAGGCCACCTGCTCCTCCTGAGTGGGGTGGGGCTGGGACTCATGTGGCAGGACCAGGGGAATGCCTGCACATTGAGGTGGCCTGGGGGCCAGACCGGCCACAGCAAGGACTTGTCCAGCAGGTACAGAAGTGTTGGAATAGTCATAGGAGGAGCCTCTGGCCCAACAGCCTGCCTGGGGAGCTCTCACCGCAGACTCGCCTTGAGATTACACAAAAGCCGTCAGAGACGGTTGCTGCTCGGAGATACAGCAAGCTGCTGGGAGCCGCCCAGGCACTCTCTTCACTGGGGGCCACCACTGGGGACTGAGGCTCTTTCACCCACTGTATCTCAGTCCAGCTTGTACCTAAGGGGAGCGAGCCCTGACACCTCATGGCTCTGCATCTCAGCTCCCATTGGACACTACGGCTCTCTGCTGCTGCCCTCAGCAGAGAGAGGGCAGAGACTCTCTCTGGTGTCTGTGCTGAGTGTGTAGGTGGTCAGACTGTGCTTGCTGCCTTAGCCTGGAAGTGTCAGGAGGACCTCCCCCAAGAAGGCAGAAGGGACACCGCGGGAGGTGGGTGGGTTGGGCTGTAAGGGATGGGGTGGGAGAGGAGGCTACTAGGCCACTGCTGCCCACTTACTTGCTCATCACTGGCATGAGCTCTTTCCTCTCCGGCTGCACACCTTTGCTCATGTGACCTCATCTCTCTCCGTCTACCTCTCCCCACAGTACCCTCACCACTACTCTTCTTGGAAGGCATTATGCTCTTTTGCCTCCAGGCCTTTGCACTTGCAGCATCTATTAACAATTGCTATTAGCAGGAAAGAATGCTCTTCCCCTGCTGCTCTCTGCAGATTCCTACCCTTTAGAAAGCTAGCTCAAATAACCCCTTTTCTCATGAACCTTCCCAAATTCCCCTGGTAAAACCGCCACTCCTCTCTTACAGGACTTACCACACTGTCATGCTTAATAATTTTTTACCTGCCTACTTTCTGTATTCGTCAGTGGTCCCTGGAGGACAGGGACTGGAGCCTAATCATTTTGGTGTTCTTCCTAAATATCGTGCACCATGATCAGCTCATAGTAGGCACTTCATTATTTATTACATAGGCTAATTAAATTCTACTTATTCTAAGCCAGGCTCAGATAGAATTTCCTCCACCAAGATTCTCCTGAGCCCTGCAGCCCAGCTCCCTTGGCCAACTCGGATGGGCAGCCTTTTATCAGTCTTGCTCCTTTGATGCTCTGTCATACACTATCTTACGGAAGGCCATGTACTATGGCTTATAACTGTTCCTAACTCAATGCTCTGGTCATTTCCTGCCTGGAACAGAGTTCCTGGAGAGTAGGGTGAGTGGATCACTCTGGTTTATATGGGCACATCCACTGCTGGTTGATACCACTTGACTGGGCAGGGACAGCAGCTCCTGGGACCTGGGGAGCCTCCTGTGAGATGCCAGGAATTTCTGCAGCATCTGTCTATACAATAATTTATGTGAAAGCAACCAGCTTTTCTTCAGGGCAGGGAGTGCACTCAGTAAATGTTGGCTAAATGAGTGCAGCCCGCAGGAGAATGAAAGTTTTAAATTGCTTTAAGCTAACTGTTTAATTATTCTGAAGCAATGCACTCTCTTAACACTTAGTGGGCTGTGAGCCAGTGACAAAACAGCTCTGACAAGCAGCATTTTCAGACCACTGGGATGCTCTGGCCACTGCGGGAGGCGGGGGCAGGGATGTTCTATATTCTCATCCATCTCCCTTCTGGGGTCTGACCATGACATGGTATATTTTTTATGGGACAGAAGGGGAGGTGCTTCTTGCTTAGTGGCCACAGAGGCCTGATGCAGTCAGGGAATGGCTCACCGTCAGGAGGCCACGGGACTGGGTGGTCAGTGTGGTTTGCCCTGGCTCCTCCCAGCAAGGCCTGGAGGCAGAGTGGGGACAGGGAGCCCCACAATAGCAGGTGTGATGCTTGGTGCCCACCCTCAGAACTGGGGAGACCTAGTGTGGGAGGGAATGGCGAGAGAGGCTGCTGGGGAAACAGGCATGTGGGTGAGCCCACCAGTCTTTGGGAACGTTCCCAGCACAGCTATGCCCAGGGCTCAGGCTCGGAGCACAGAGAAAAGACAGCCATTGTTTAAGCATTCAGTCTGATCAGTTCTTTCTGGGCAAGGAGAAGTCAGGGGGATATGGGCAGGAAAACTGGGCTTCAGACCTCATAAGTATGAGTCATCCATTCCTAAATCCCTAACCCTAGCCTCAGGATTAATTTTTATGTAGAATAGTGTATGTTACTGTTATGATTTGCTTAAGAAAGTGAGAGAAAGAATATACATGCATATATGTCTCCAGAACACCAAAGCTCAAATGGAAGGTGCCTGTAGAGAAACTAACTGGGAAACAGGGCTAGGAAGAAGACTTTTGATTGTGTGCCTTTTTGTTCTTTTTAAATCCTAAAATATCACATCCACATTACCTATGTGCATGAGTGTGTATATGTGTATAAAACCGGACTCTGAAAGTCCCCAAAGAAACCTTCTTGAAGGAATAAGAAAATCTAAAAGCTTAGGATAAGGAGAGGTCATTTACAGCTTGCAGAATGAGCTCAGAAAAACCTGACACTCAGAGCATGCAAAGTAACAAAGATCTTAAAGAAAAAAAGAAATGAAGAAAGGATGAGAAAAAGGAAGAAAGGGGGAGAGTGGGAGGGAAGGAGAAGGCAACATTCATTTATGTGCCAAGCATGTCCAGCCACGGTGCCTGCTGTGGCTCTGCCTGACCATTGCATCCAGAAGCCAAGAAAATCATGCTCACCTTGTTGTCCTCAAACAAGTCCAGGATGAAGGTGATGGCACTGCTGTTGACACCGATGAACAAATTGGCACAAGACAAGGCCACGTAGGCTGTGCTGGGGACATCAAACAGGAAGGATGCGGGGTACATCATGGGGATGACTGCCCATCTGTGGGAAATGACACAACTCAGTGGGATGAAGTTCCGACTTCCATGCCATCTGCCAGCCCCCTAGACGTAATGCACTCCCCTCACACATCCGGTGGCATGAGCTGACAAGAGTCCAAGACGGACCAAAGAGATACTCCATCCCTTGATCTTTGTTCCTTATCTTTGAATGGAGGTAATAATGCCCTACCTGAATAATACCTCATGGGGGTTTTGTGAGGAGCAAAAGAGACAGTAGCTGATGTGAATGTATTCTGTAAATTATATAATACATAGGAGAATTCTCTATCCTGAAATGCTTCCCACTCTAGTTTGGATCAGCAAAGCTAAGCTGAGATCCTATCAGGTTCATTTTTATAGTTCACTAGAGCTGATGTGTCACAGTCTCACTGGTTTCTGAATTGTCTATTTCCAAGAGATGAACAGAAACCATCGCTCCAGCAGGACTCTGCTGGCCCACTCAGGAAAGGCCAGGTATCATCTCCATTTTACAGATGAGGAAAGTGAGGCCCAGGTGGAGTGAATTACTTGTCCACAGTATGTATATAGTAAGTTGTAGGCCTGGATATAAAGTTGCATGCTTTGCGCTCTAATTCTACTGGGTTTAATCCCTGTGTCACCCTCTGGCCCTAGCTCAGGAACAGCCTTTAGCTGCAGTCTTCCATGTGCAGATAATTCTTGGCCAGTACAGACGGAAATACAGATTTGCACAGATTGGCCACAGATGAATCAGAATCAGAGCTAGGTGAGGAACTGGGGAGTGAGGATTCCCAGACTTTGGTCAGGCACAGTTTTAGTGGAAGAAGATTCAGGCCATGTGGGGCATCTCCATTGTCCCTGAGTGGACTGGTTCTCAGGACCTGGAATACCTCTAGGGGTGCAGTCAGAAACAGAAGCCAGACAGAATCCTGGCAAGCAGATGCAGACCCTGCCAGTGGCTGGCAATAACCTTGCTACAGAGCCCACTCTCTGTCGGGTGAGCCTGCCCCTCCGTGGCTTCTGATTTGGTGGCATTAGCTAATGGCTCAGACAACTCACCCATACAGCATGAGTAGTGCAACAAGGGCAGGAAGATTGTTTGGAGAAGTATAGGCTTTCTTCTGAAACCCCATGAAGATGCCCACCACCAGTGCCACGCTCACAGTGTAATTCATCTGGAAGAGAAGAGGAGGCCAAAGCAAACAGTTCACCTCTCTGGACCTCTGTTTCCTGTTCCTTAAGACAGGGTTGGGCCAGCGTCTCCAGCACTTACAACCTGGGATTCTGATTCTATTAGTCTAACCAGTTCTTGATGAGCAAGCATGTGGTAAATTGTCCCCAGTCCTCCTCTCTGTGCAGGACCTCCCACCCCACCCCACCTCCTGTGCAGGACCTTCAGTCCATAACTTTTGAAAGAATGAATTATAAAATTCCACCTGATCTCTCATTCCCTCTAATTGACCACAAAGGCATGTTAAGTCTCCTTTCTAAGAAAGTCTCCAGAATTTAGAAAAACTTAAAATAAAGTCCTTCTGTTCATGAAGGTCAACCAGATGATACCCTTCCATTGTTTCTTCCCTTTTCTTTCCTTCCTACACAATTCAGTCTCCAGGCCATTAGGATAGACAGGAAGAGGTGAGAGGCCACACAGTGGAGGGGAGGCATCAGCATCAGAGTGGTCCTGAGCAGGGCAAGGGCCTGAGAAGGGTAAGGGCATCCTGTGGAGGTGGGCTGCAGGTGGAGCTGGAGCCCAGAGGGGAAAGGGGAGATTGATCTTGTGTAGGACATGAGAAACAGAACAGAATGAGGAGGACCTCCAGGTTGGGGGGTAGGCTGGAGCAGGGAGAGGAGGGTGTCTACATGGGAGAGAGGATGGTGGCAGAAATGGTGACTTCCTACAGGTATTGCTCAGGTAGGTTAAATGAATCAGGGGTAATGGAAGCCAATTTCTCACTCTTGGAGAAGGGAGTTACACATATGGAAACACAGAAAACCAGAATGAGCTTGTGGTGTTGGATTGGAACTAGGGGTTTTAGGGAGCTCACATTCAGTGTGGAGATAGAGAAGTACAGATATAAATGTATGCATGTCTATGTAGACACATACACATCTCTTCTAGTCTTTCCACTGAGAAGGCCTGAGACAGAACCCAGGGGCAGTGAAAGTATTTACACACAGATCATGATTTCTGAGGGACATTTTCCACTGGAGGGAACCAGAGATCCCTGGGGAGATGGCTCATTGCAGGTAGGGCTGGGGGTGAGCACAGAGGTGCTCAGGGAGGATGGGGTGCAAGTCAAGGTGAGGCAGAAGCAGCTTGACAGGGCGCCCACTGCCCCAACTAAGGGTAATCTGAGCACCAACATAAATAGGAATGGTACAAGTTTGTAATCCACAAATTAACACAGGATTAATGCAGATATAAATAAATAAATGAATAAATAAATTGATATTTACATAGCTTCAGAGTACCTCTCCTGGGGTTGGAGCAGGTGGCAGTGGGGGAAGGATGAGGGGACTAAAGGGGCACAATAATTCACAATCACAATATGAGTTGGTCAGGAAAGGTTGTACAACATGGAGAATATAGTCAGTGATTCTGTAACACCTTTCTATGTTGATAGATAGTAACCACAGTAGAGGGGGTGAGGATTTAATAATGGAGGTGACTGTTGAACCACTGTTTGTACATTTGAAACCAATATAGGATTGTATATCAACCATATTTCAATTTTAAAAATAGTACCTCTCATCCAAATTCTTATTAACTATAAGGGGGAAAAGACTAACTTTACAGTAGAGAAGTTTGATGGATGCCATTTTAATCAAGTGACAAAAGTGACCTTTACCAGTAACAGGAAAATTGAAATCAGAAGTCACTGGATAGGATGCAGTGGGAAGAACAGAGTCCCCACTTCAAAATACTGCAGCATAACCTGACACTTATCCTGAGGAAACATCAGGCAAACACAAACAAATGAACATTCTGCAAAATAATTGGCCTGTAATCTTCCAAAGTATCAAGGTCATGAGTGTCAAGGAAAGATTGAGGAACCATTCCAGAAAGAAGGAGACTGAAGAGACAGGAAACTAAATGTAGTGTATGCTTCTGAGCCAGATCCTTTCTATAAAAGACAGCACTGAGTGGGGCCTGAGATGAGGTGAGGAATCACTGCTAGTTTCCTGATGTTGACAGTTGTGTCAGTTGTAATGGGTGTGTCCTCATTTGTCAGAGGTACACACCAGAGATGCTGGTGAGTGTGTGTGTGGGTGAGAAGGGGCATTTTTTTGAGAAGTTACTCTCAAATGGTTCAGGAAAAGTCTTGAATGTAACACCTTTTCTAATTTCAGTTTGTGAGTATTTCAAAATTTAAAAGAAAAGAAAAATATGACATAAAAAATTATTGAGGATAGCAGTTTAAAGATGGTGGCATGAGAGGTAAAGCAGAAACCTCTTCCCCAAACCACATATAATGTGAAAATATAGCAAATACATCTAATCCTGAAAGAGCAACAGAAAAAAGGCTGCAGCAGACTGCCTACACCTGGGAAAAACAGCAGACCTCAAGGAAGAAGGTAGCCAGATCCAGAGGGAGCCAAGCACTCCTCCCACCCCAGCTCACCATGGGGAGGAAGAGAAATGGAGCAGGGAGGGGGTGGAGGCCTAGGATGGCTGAACACCCAGTCCTGGAGGAGACCTGCTCTAGGAGAAAGAACCTACATTACATGGTGCTCTGGAGGTGAGTGGGGTTGGAAAGCTAAGACAGGCGAAATGCTTGGAGTGACTGAGATTTCAGCCACTTGTGGAAAACACATATACATGACTGGCTGCTCTGAGACAAAAGAAAGGCGGGCAGTCTGAGAAACTTCCTAACACTGAGAGGGCTGCTAAAAGGGTAAGGATTGCACAGAGCTTGCTGCTCAGTAGAAAGGACAGGTGGACAAAATTGTCCAGGCATACTCTGCCCAGCAGGTTGGGAACTTTCAGGAGCTTCAGGTGCTCCATCCCCTGGCTGGCTACACGTCTATGACGCTCCCCACTGTGAAATGCAGCCTGCTGTGCTTTCCTCCCCACCGTCAACAGCTCACAAAATGCCTGCCCGCAACATTGTGCCAGGGCAGCCAGAGGGCGGCCCTGGCTATGGCAGCTACAAGCACAAAGCACAGAGGCTTCTCCCTGCACACTCGGCCCACTGGCCCTGGCAGTAGGGACAGGCACTGCAGCTGGTAAGCAGGAAAGATCTCTTTCCTCTCTACAGGCACCAGCACCACTTGCCTGTGACCCCCGTCATTGTTCCAGGGACTGAGCAGCTCCAGAGAGTAGAGCCTCTGGGCACTAGAGGATGCCACCTACAAATATGAAATGTCAAAGGAATCTGGTTCAAACCAAAGTCCCACAAACACCAGAGAGGGCCAAGTGAAACTGAACTCATCAATATTCCTGAAAGAGAGTTCGAAATAAAAATCATAAACATGATAACAGAGGTACAGAAAAATATTCAAGAACTCAGGGAGGAATTCAAGAATGAGATACAAATGTTGAAGAGTACAGTATTTGAAATGAAACATAAAATGGAGGGATTTAAAAGCAGATTAGATGAAGTAGAGGAGATGGTAAGTGAAATAGAAATTAGAGAACAGGAATACAAAGAAGCTGAGGCATAGAGAGAAAAAAGGATCTCTAGGAATGAAAGAATATTGAGAGAACTGTGTGACCAATCCGAATGGAACAATATTCTCATAATAGGGATACCAGAAGAAGAAGAAGAGAGAAAAAGGGATAGAAAGTGTCTTTGAGGAGGTAATTGCTGAGAACTTCCCCAATCTGGGGAAGGAGATAATCTCTCAGGCCATGGTAGTGCACAGATCTCCCAACACAAGGGACCCAAAGAAGACAACACCAAGACAAATAATAATTAAAATGGCAAAGATCAAGGATAAGGACAGAGAAAAAAAGACCACATACAAAGGTAAGCCCATCAGGCTGTCATCAGACTTCTCAGCAGAAACCTTACAGGCCAGAAGGGAGTGGCATGATACATTTAATGCAATGAGGCAGAAGGGCCTCGAATCAAGAATACTCTACTAGCAAGATTATCATTTAAATTTGAAGGAGGGATTAAACAATTTTCAGATAAGAAAAAGCTGAGAGAATTTACCTCCTACAAACCATCTCTACAGTATATTTTTGAGGGACTGCTATAGACAGAAGTGTTCCTAAGGCTAAAGAGCTGTCACCAGAGGAAATAAAACCATGGTAAAGAAAGTAGAACAATTAATTACTAAGCAGATACAAAAATCAAATCAACTACCCTCAAAGTCAGTCAAGGGATAGACAAAGTGTATAGAATGTGATACCTAATATACAAAGAATGGAGGAGGAAGAAAAAGGAGGAAAAAAAACGAACCTTTAGGTTGTGTTTATAGTAGCATACAAAGTGAGTTAAATGAAACTGTTAGATAGTAAGGAAGTTACCTTTGAAGCCTTGGTAACCATGAATCTAAAGCCTAACAATGGCAATAAGTATATACCTATCAATAATCACCCTAACTGTAAATTGGTCTGCACTAATCAAAACACACGGAGTCATTGAATGGATAAAAAAGCAAGACTCATCTATTTGCTGCCTATAAGAGACTCACTTTAAACCCAAAGACATACACAGACTAAAAGTGAAGGGATGGAAAAAGATATTTCATTCAACTAACAGGGATAAAAAAGCAGTAATTGTAGTTCTTGTATCAGAAAAAATAGACTTCAAAACAAAGAAAGTAACAAGAGACAAAGAGGGACATTACATAATGGTAAAGGGGTCAGTCCAATAAGAGGGTATAACCATTATAAATACCTATGCCCCTAACACCAAAGCACCTACATATGTGAAACAAATACTAACAGAATTAAAGGGGGAAATAGAATGCAATGCATTCCTTTTAGGAGACTTCAATACACCAGTGACTCCAAAGGATAGATCAACCAGACAGAAAATGAGACAGAAGCACTTAATAACAATTAGAACAGATGAACCTAAGAGACATCTACAGAACACTCCACCCGAAAGCAGCAGAATACACGTTCTTCTCAAGTGTACATGGAATACTTTCCAGAACAGATCACATACTAGGCCACAAAAAGAGCCTCAGTAAATTCAGGATTGAAATTGTACCAACCAGC